AACTCAGGGCTTCTTCTTCCGTGGATACACCAGTGATAATGTCATCGACGTACAAGAATCTCTTTATCTCTTTGAATTCTTTTGGATATCTCTCTCTCTTTTCTGATTCAAATGTTGCTTTAGTGTTGCAGCCAAAACGAAAGGGGATTGGACTAACCCAAATAATGCTCGCGTAAATCTTAAAATTTCAATGTCCCTGGGGTCCTTGTTCTTGATCCAGTGGAAGCGTAAGGCGTCTCTGTCCTCCACTCTTTAAGCACCTACAGGAATGCTTTTTTCAGATCGGTAGAGAAAGCGAGCTTTAGTCGGTTCCGGACCAAGACATTCCATAGGAGGTTTTGTAGAGATGGGCCTGTCTCCAGGCAATCATTCAGAGATGGGCTTTTCTCACTTTCACTCGCAGATGCATCAAACATAATTCATAATTCATTTTGGTTGTTTCAGCTGTTTCCCTGATCATCGGCTTACGGGGAATATTAAATTCCCTTCCTTGCGGTTCATTGACAGCTCTCTCCCTAATACCTTCCGCTAATTGCTCCTGAATGATGGCGTCATACTTGTCTAACTGGATTGGATCACTTCCTAGTTTCCTTACCAAGTTTTCCAACCGTTTTAGGCTTCCATGTTCATTTGTTGGCAAGAGGACATGTCCGGATTTCTATAGCATACTTGTCTCGTAACGACCGTCCTTATTTTGGGTCAGCTGTGAACTCTCATAAATGACTTGTTGATTTCCTTCTTGTCGGTCTTCCATACCCAACACATCCAAGCTACATAACTCTTGGTAATTGGCAGATGATGTTCTGGTTGCATAAACATTTGACAAATTAGACTCACTGCCAGAAGACTTCACCGTCCCTCCTAACGTTGTCAACTCGGCTATTGGTTCCAGTGGTTGACTAATTCTTGGTTTCGTTTCCATTTTAATTCTTTCGTTTCAATTCTTGGTTTCGTTTCCATTCCTCTCGAATAATCACTGGCCCCTAGTAATACTTGAACAGGCAATTCACTCTTCTGATGGTTGTCATCCATCACCACTCCCTCCAAATGGTTGTATCGTTTCAGAAGCTGTCAGAAGTACACTTTTATCTAGTTCATTCAGCATTGTTGACATTCCAAATTTGTCCGGCATTGACACTCGATTCGTTCACCTCGTAGCTGTTGACCTTTTGGGTGGTTGAACAGACCATCATCTCAATTTGCTTATGCTCAGTATGAGTAGGTTCCTTGTGTATGACGCATATGAGCTCCCTGAGCCTGAGTCTAGTAGTGCTCTACATTTAATTCCATCAACCAATAAATTACTGTAGATTCACCTGTTGCCACCTACATACACCTGCATGTTTTTTTACTAGTTTCGTATCACATAATTTTGAAATATGATGTTGACCTCCACTTTTATGACAAGTGTGCTTGCTCTTACAATCCCTTGCTTAGCAAAATTTGGAAAACGGTAGTCACTGAAGTGCAGGCGCAATTCTATCAACTGTGACGAACATATTAATTGTTTTGCTAATCAACAAGAGCTCAATCGATTGCCGGATGTCGTTTGACTTTTTTTGGCGTGACCCATAGCCTTCTGCCAGAAGAGTATTATTGGGAATCCGGATTACGCCAGCTGTTGATCTCGGTAAACTTTTGACAAACACCCGCCTAGAAAATCCGACAGGCGAAAAAAATATCCTTAGGCCCATTGTTTTGTTCTCCTCCACGGAAATCTTTAGTAAAAGGCGAAAGACTTTTTCGTGAAAATGAAGGAAAACAAAGGCTTGGAAACTTCGGTGCTTGTCAGGGCTGTATAAACGAAATAGTTTCACTTTTGGAACACGGTAGTCACGGAAGTGCGCGCGCAATGTTATCAATTGTGACGAATATAATTGCTTTTTTAATCAGCAAGTGCTTAATCGATTTCGGGATGTCGATGGATATCTTGGCATGACCCATAGCCTTCTGCCAGGAAGAGGAGCTTTGGGAATCCGGATTACTCTAGCTGTTGATCTCGTACACTTTTGATAAACACCCGACTGGAAAATCCGGCGGGCGACAAAAAATACCCTTAGGCCCATTGTGTTGTTCTCCTCCACGGAAATCTTTAGTAAAAGGCGAGAGACTTTTTCGTGTAAATGATTGGGAATCCGGATTACTCTAGCTGTTGATCTCGTACACTTTTGATAAACACCCGACTGGAAAATCCAGCGGGCGACAAAAATACCCTGAGGCCCATTGTGTTGTTCTCCACGGAAATCTTTAGCAAAAGGCGAGAGATTTTTTTGTGAAAAAATTGCACTCGTACTGTCATGTGACATAGAACAATAACATATTTTGGCCACACCCCCAGCTTCCAAACCCTCTCCTCTATTAACTATGATCGAGGTAACTATCATATTCTCAACTCGGGCGAGATTCTTGACTGTCGTTGAAATTGATACTCAGGTTAAACGACTGAGTACAACGGAAGCAATTTTTTGTCCGACGACGTCTCGAGCATCAAAATGGGGTATGGCATATTGGCATTCTATTTGACTCGGCAAGTGAAATGTCACGAGGGCCTAGAAAGCTGAACGCAAAGCGTTGTTTTATAGTTTCAAGTTATTTCATTAATTTTTTCAATGGCAAATTGATGACTTCTGAATACTTTGTTCGGCGATTCTCGCATCTTATTTGACGAGGAACAATTTTTAGAGGGCCACTTGTTAGTCAGTTGATATACTGTTCAGTGTTTACCCTCGTTAAATAAAGTTGATTGATTGAAACCAAGAATGGTCGATTAGTAAAGCTCGAGTAAAAGTGTTATATCTCTTGATGCATGTGCAGGGAAGCCGAGAGGTTGAGTGGGTTCCGAAGAAAAAGCTTCGTTTGGGGTTCTTACTGTCGTTTTGAGGGCCCTTTAGGAGGGGCCCCGTGGAAAATACCGGCCCCCCAACCACCCTCTTAACGGGCCTGTGGATCATACACAAAACCATTCATGTTCGAATCGGCATGAAATTCTCTGTCATACCGGATGTACCAAAAAGATGCAAACTATTGAAAATAATCTACTATCAGAATTTGATGCCTCGACATTCTGCTGAATCCACAAGCGCATAAAAGTACCCATGGATGTGCAAACACAGCATTGAAAATAAAATCTTATTGCAGGTAATTATTTCACTATTTGATGCATATTGGCGTTTAGCTCAGCGTTAGATTATTGAAACTCTAACAATAGGCGATTTCAATAATTTGTGTTTTTTTAGTACACCCTGTACAGTGTGTTCAAGAAAACTGAACCTTTCAACAAACGTATTGCTGTGCCGCATGGAGCCCTTCTGGCCTCTATGTCAGGCCTGCATGGTCATCTGATTTTTCGCAGGGTAGTGTGGAGGCAGCGCATCCAGCTTCAGTTGAGTCTTCATTCGAAAAATAATAAGCGGCTTGTTTTAATAAAATTGATGTACTTGATGGAAAGTCATCAATATAGATTATAAGCGATGGCGATTAATTTTCAATTTGATTTACAAACTTTGTCGCACGACAAGTGAGCCGCCCCCAGATTTAACCTCCATTGTGCCCACTCCATCTGCTCGAAGATATTAGCTCTTTGTTAGAGCTACTCGGTAAATTCGAGTGAAAATAAAGTTTATGTTATGTATGTACCCCCCCCCTACAAATAAATACAGATTAAGAAACATAAAGTAGTCTGTATAATCAGGAAGAAAAGACTGTATAGCAATTGTGTTGGCATTGGAAAGCTGTGTTTTGACTTTTAGTTTGTTCTCATTACCAAACTCAAAATTTTGGGCCTCCAAATTGCTGGCCCTGTGGTTAATGTGGCACTGACGTATCGTAGTAATTTGACAGCTCTAATAACAATTGTTTCTTGTAAGTTGTGTTTTAATTTTCGCATCTTATTCGACGAGGAATTTATAGTGCTGCAACATTACTACAAAACGTTACAGTTAATTTGAAAGGTTCAAACGCTGTATATCGATTTTATTGGTACTGTCTATTTAACAAAAACAAACTAACGTTTAAATTTCGATGATTAACGTCGCTCCCTCTCATCGGATTTATCCGTTGTTTTCTCAGCTGATAGGGCGTGGAATTATCATTGGATTTATTCTTATGTCAATTTCCAATATATAATTGGCTGAAAAATAAAACCTTTTCGTATGAAAATAATAGAATTATTGAAAACTTTCAGGTACAGAAGTTATAAGAAATGAAGGAAATGACAACTTGATTTTGTCGAGGTTCTGGTTTCTGATTGACTTTTTTTTTAACTCGGAACAGTTTATTGCAAGAAAATGCCACACATAAAAATGTTCCCATTGCCAGGAAATATTGCGCTGCCTCAAAACTACGTGTTGCCTTATAGGTAACATGTCTGAGGTAGCACTTCACCTTGCAATAGTAACCTCTAGTCATTTCTCCTAAGTTTTCGTGTCCAAAATTTTGCGAAGCGCACGTCATTGAAGAACGCTTTTCTACATCATCCTGGGGTGTGTACGGAACTTTTTGATGGGGTACAAAGCTCCGTGCGTGGCGTGAAAGAGAATTGTTTGTGGGCAATTAACCGTAGTGCTTGCGTTTTGGCTTACCTTTGATGGCGAACGTAAATTTCAAGAAGTGAGATTCTGGTATATCATCAATATTCCGTGAAATGCTTATGACTACAGTGTTTCCAACTCCTGAAATAATATGTTCATCCCTTCTTTCCAATATAAATTTCTAGAAACCCACTTTTGTTTTCAAGCCCGAAATTTTGTTTCCATTCCAGAAATCCCAGTCGATAACGATCCTTTGCACAGCTAATTTTGCTCAACTGAGGCGATAGGCTTCTGTATGTATGCATTTCTAGTAAAATTTTATAATCTTTAGATAGTAAACTTTACAACGTGATACCACTTTCTTTTTAACAAGTCACAAGTGTTCAAAATTTCCACCCTAAATTATAAATTTCCCTGTTGCCAAAAAACAGCATGAACCACCTTAACCGCGAGTAAATAGACGGGATTAGTAATCGCCCGTCGCCGCTCATGCTTGGGGACTAGCATGCGATTAGGGTAAAAATAATCGTCTTTTCCCAGCATCACAAGAGTTTTGAGATTAAGAATTGCTAAAAATTTACTTCAAAACTTCAACTGCCGATTTATTTTGCCATTTAAAACTAACGGAAACAAGATTGAGAAAGAAGCAAAACATTTCAACAATTTCCCTGGATTGGTGCAAACCCTGACAAGCATGCAAACACTTTAAATTATAAGAATGAAAAGTTCAGTACGAGTAAAAAAGCCATTTTCCTGTTCATTTCTCAAAGAGATGCCTCAGAAATGCGTCAAGGATGATTACAACGACAGCAGTAATACAAATAACTAGCCAAATATTCCATGGACCAGGAGCAACTGGATTTTTTAAGGTGAAACTTTCAGGATCATCCCAAAAATCACAGTACATTTGGCGTAAATTTTCACCATTCATCACATCGTGTAGCCCATTGAACTGCAAATATTTTTGGCTAGAATCAGTAAACTTGGGCCAATTGGGTAATTTCTGGAACTCTTTTGCGTTATAAGTGATATTTGTTATCCCAACATTTGGATCACTGAAAGCAATAAATGGCAAAAATTTATAATGAATTGATCTTTCTATTACTCTAGTAGAAAATGACATCATATTAAACACTCGAAGGCCTGTATACTCACCCATTTTTGGCAAAGTTTGTCCAATAGGTAACCATTCGCGATGACATAACCCTGTCTTCTTCTGGGAAAAGTCGATGGTTAATAGGCATACCAAACGTCCCCTGAAGCAATTTCAAAGAAACATTGGATTTAATATTTTTGAACGTCCATGGAAAAACTATCCATTCAATTGGCTGACTATTAAGTCTGAGGGGTACGTTTATGCTAAAAATCACTCTTATCTCGTCACGTGTCTATTGTATTTTGAGCGGTAGGACTGTAATGTTTGAATTAAAATTTTGTTCAAATCACGGTTGAGGAGCTAAGCCAAAACAATGCTATTGCTTAGTTGAGCAAAAAATACAATAGACACGTGTCGAGATAGGAACCATTTTTTGCATAAACCTGGACAATAACACACTTAATAAGCTGTTTTGTACTTCCACCTAGTCTCCAAACCATGTATATTCTAATGAACTGTGATCAAACACACATCACATTCGACAAGCACATTATGATCGACTAAAGGCGTTGTTTCTCAATAATTTTCGTTTATTGGCGGCATGTGCTTCTTGCTGTTTTCTCTTAGTTAAAAGGGTAATACCTTGCGAAAAACTCATCGTTCTATAATATAGGCCTTCGGCATTTTCCCAAATTAACGACACTGACTCCTTTAACGGTTTCCCTTACATTCAACATATAGTGAAAACTGTGTGCAATTACTTCAATATTACAATAATCTATAGTTTGGAGCGATTTTGCTAGAGATTCATTATTGTGAATCTACTACTACCCACGGGTAGACCTAAATTTTGCGACGCTAAACCACTAGGAGTTCATACATTCTGCACAATGAAGCATTTATCGAATTAGGAACTATCGGAACGAGTTTATAGAAATTTCGCCTATATGAAAAATTCCTATTATTAAGTGATTATTTTTCACTTTAATTAGTGCTTAATGCCATTGGCATAGCCTGCCGTCTATAAACTATGTTTTGATCGAGCCCCCGGAATTTCTGCAGGTTTTTACACTCACCATGAGATCTGAAGCATGTGCAGCAAAACCAAAAGTGCCTTGAGGATAGTACACCAATATATCCAGAGGTGGTGCATAGGAAAATCGGAAAACATAAACATTTTTACCAATCGACTGATCGGACCACGTTTTTGCAAGTTTGGTTGTCTCGCAACTCCAGTACTTGTCTGTTTGAAAGTCAATCGTTGGCCTGAGTGCTTCAACGTAATTTGGATAGCATTTTGGTTCGTAGAGCTCTAAAGCCTTCTTGTGTACATCACCAGAGAAATCTTTTAATTCAAATTGAAGATTTTGTTTAAAATAGTTAATGTAAAACTCGGTTGTTTGGTTATTTTGGAGATTACTAAAATGCCAAAGGAATGCTTCGTGTTCACATACGCCAATCATCAAGTCTACATGTTTGTGCTGTCCTTCTTCAAGCATTTTGGCCGGCAGTTTTTTAAAGAAATCACCATCAAGGACAGGCAACATGAAATCTTTAGTCATGGAGTATTCTGTAGTGCGATAATGTTCCATAATTTCCTCAGTGCTAAGATTCTGAAGACATTCCAAAACCTTTTCATCGTTCTTACATCCTACTTGGCCAAGAAATTCTTCTGACATGTTCTTCGCGTAATTCATATCGACTACTCCCATGGGAAAAGTGATGCTTCCACTTTGTAAAATACTTCGTTGGAAGTATGGCCAACTATCTTCGGAAAAGAAATGAGAGGAAGTGGATCCAGCTCCCGCGCTTTCTCCGAATATCGTCACCTTATCAGGATCACCACCAAATCGCTCAATGTTCTCATGAACCCATTTAAAAGCCAACCTCTGATCAAACAATGCAAAATTCCCTGTCAACACACGAAGATAATTGATTTGACACTGCATTTGGATCAAACGTTTTGATTATTGAGGACAATTATCAAAGTACAGCCTACAGGCTTGGATCGTATTTTAAAAAAATTTACGTTTAAAATTTGTCCTGAAGATACGCCTGGTACGCGCTAGCTATGAACAGCTGGAAATAAAGGGATGTGCGACGGAGCGGTCAAATCTTTGTAAAATATAAGCGATTGTACAGCAAGAAGCTTTGTAGAAAAGCTAGACTTGTCTTCCGCGCGTTCCCTTCCCTCGCTTCCCTCGTTCCCTTCCCTTTCCTCGCTTTCGTGACCGAGCGTAGCGAGGTCGCTCAAGCTCGCGTGTGGGTTTAAGAGTCGACTTGTAGCAAGTCTATAGGAAAGCTTCAAATTTCGAAAGTTGGCTTTTACTCAGATGATAAGACAAGCACTTTTACAGCGCGACCTCTGACAAAAACTAGGGAAAGTATCGGCGTATGCGAAATTCAATTAAAAGCTTGCTTGGTGAAAAAATGGGGGAGGGCTCCTTTTTTTATCGGAAAGGATCAATTAATTAAGAAAAACCAGTCCATATTCGCCGGGTAGTCTTCACTGTATTATCAGTAAAAATTCAAGAGGTAGCAGTTTTGTATACGGAAAAAATATGGATGTCCCGAACAAACTGCGCTTTTTAACTTGAGAAAAAAGTTACTTTATAACAATCAACGGTTTCAAAAACTCTTCAGAGCACAATTCAAGTTATACAGTCTATTTTTAGGTTTTATTCGTTACTTGTAATTGCCGTAGAATGTGAAAAATTATTAAACTTGATGTTTCCAAGTGTTATAATTTTCGACTCCGCGCGTGCAATAGCTTTACGATTTTCTATTTGGCCTTGAAGATTACGACCAAATTATCGTTCCGGTTTATTTACAGTTTATTATCTCCACGACCCATATACACAGGAGCTAAGTGTATTCTTTCCGAGATATTACCTCTGACACTCTCATCACGAGTCACCAAGAATCCAAGATCAAATAATCGATAATTTATTGTAACAAGAATGACGTCACCACCCGCAGCTGCGACAAATGAATGTCCATGAAAGCTTCCTGATGTACCTCGCGTATATCCACCTCCATGAACATATATCTGAAAGTGTAAAATAAATGAGGTATGTCCAGTGTAGTGATCGGTTAACAGATGCTTTCAGATGGTTTCAGGTGCTTTCAGATGGTTGTCATGAAATGTGTGGCATTGTGGTGCAGAAGGTACGGAAGGTGCAGATGATGCAGATGTTGCAGTTGTTGCAGGTGTCGCACATGGTGCGGATAGCGCAGATGGTGCGGACGTTCAGTTCGTGGAGATCGTCAGATGATGCAGATCGTGCGCATGGTGCAGATCCGTGCGAATGGTGCAGATCGTGCGAATGGTGCAGATCGTGCGGATGGTGCATACGTGCGAATGGTGCAGATCGTGCGAATGGTGCAGATCGTGCGGATGGTGCAGATCATGCGAATGGTGCAGATCGTGCGAATGGTGCAGATCGTGCGAATGGTGTAGATCGTGCGAATGGTGCAGATCGTGCGAATGGTGCAGATCGTGCGAATGGTGCAGATCGTGCGAATGGTGCAGATCGTGCGAATGGTGCAGATCGTGCGAATGGTGCAGATCGTGGAATGGTGCAGATCGTGCGAATGGTGCAGATCGTGCAGATTGGTGCATCTCGTGCGAATAGGGCAGATCGTGCGAATGGTGCAGATCGTGCGGATGGTGAAGATCGTACATATCGCGCGAATGGTGCAGATCGTGCGGATGGTGCAGATCGTGCGGAAGGTGCATATGGTGTAAATGGTGCAGATCGTCTAGATCGTGCAGATGATACAGATGGTGGAGATCGTGCAGATGATGGAGGTGGTGCAGATCGTGGAGGTGCTGCAGATCGTGCAGGTGGTGCGGATTGTGCATATCGTGCAGATCGTGCAGATGTCGCGGATCGTGCAGATCGAAGACGCAGTAATTGCGATCAAAGGAGTGTTGACCACGTGGTTTTCTGGCGCAATTTTCTACCTACTGAGCTACAAGGTCCAGTCTTCTTAAAAACATGATTTCGGATCCAGTTATTAAAATACCGCTATAAACCTGCGATGTGCTATAAACTTCCGACGAGGATTAGTTGGTATAGAGCTCCATATATAGCAAACCACAATTCGGGGATTCGACTCCGGCCTTTGTCACCATTTATTTTAAGGTTTTACCATGTGGTTCCGCTCAGATAAATATTGGACAAATGTACCAATCGGCTTTTTATGAATATTTTATACAATATAGCATCCTACCATAACCGTAGCAGATTTTGGTCCTTGGGTGTGGTGTCCAGACATTCAGAACGAGGCAATCTTCAGACATTATGTAAGGGAACTTTAACACCTTGCGGGCACGATATCGGCTTATCCTCGGGCTTTCCACAGTCCTGTAAAAATAGCAAGTTGCGTAAAACAAGATGCTCTATTCACCGTTTGGGGTATTCAATAACGGTAGCTTGGATACAATTGAAATATATCATTCTCTGTTGTTCTGAAAACATTTTCATGCAAAGGACCGGTTTCAGACTTTGACACTCATGTGACATACGCATTACGAACAATGAGTAATGAGTTGTGCGTCTCATTTGTCCGATGAACTTTAAACGTGCCGAATATACATTAACAAAATAGATAATAAATGAAATGCCTTCTTTCTTTTTAATTTATTTGGCGCATGAAAAGTTCGACGTTTGAAAAGAATCTTGTTGTTAATGTTAGCGTAGAATAGCACAAAAGTATCTATAAGTAGCAGAATTATGAAATAGAGTTTTCGCTCATACATATAATTCTGATGCTTCGGTTACATTTTTCGTATATATGCCTTTGTGCAGAGAAACGAAAGTAAACATGCGCGCGAGTTGTCCGAAATAGTAAATTGATGATAACGTAAAGGTGGAAGAATGTACAGTTTACCACAATGCATTGCAATATCAAACATAAATGACTAAAAAGATGAGAAGACAAACACCGAATGGCATGAAACTTTAACACAGCCTCATTTCTCATGCCTGTCCTGGAAGAAACCTCAATTCGCATCTTTGAGCGATTTCTGACGCAATGCGTTCTGGTAAGATGTACATCCGCCATCTTTTTCGTTATGTATAACAAACGTTATTCAAGTATAAGTTCTTCAATGAACTGTGTTCTCACAATTGTAATATGCATGCTTTTACAGAGGGGGGAGGATCATTTAGAAAAGCTAGGAACATTATAAACATTCCTCCATCCCCTGGTATAGCCAGACTTTCTTAAGGAGGTTTCCTTAGAATGTGAGAGCTCTGTCAATGAATCATTTGCTTAAAAAGAGTGCTCGAACACAAAAACGATACCCGATCAATAAGAACTAGAAAAATAATGTAAGTAGATTAAAACTCCTCCGTACCGTTCCATGGCTTTTTAGGTTGAGGCTTCACGAATCTTAACTTCCCTACTGGAGCTTCTGCGTAATAGATATTGAGGAATTTTTGGACATACAGACCATCCAATCTTGTTTCTTCAATCTTCCCGCCAACTTTTCCAGCCAGAATCTCAACAACGACTAAACATAAATTATGTATAGAGCACTTTAAGGAAAACTCTGCATGTTCAAGATGTTCTACAGCTAGCATAGGTAATAAACAGTAGAACAAGTTTGTTTAGTTGGTGTCCTCACGCCGCGGTATTATTTCGTCCGCCATCATTCTGGCGTGTTTTTACCTATGCTGTGGGGTTATCAGAGAGCGAATGGAGAAAAATCTATTGTTAAAATTTTCCCGATGTGGAATATCCGAGCCATGAGCAGGTTCAAGAAACGCAGCCATAAGTCTTTCTGCAGGAATCAAACCTGCTGCACTGCGATGCAGCCTTTCAATTAACAACTCAGCTACAAAGTGCAGTTGTTGAGCTCAAGTTACAAATTCTTTCATACAGAGTGACAAACAAAAGGAATCCTTGCTTTAAATGAAAATAATGGAATATTATGGGAGTAAAAGGTTAATGTTGATTACTCATTTCAAGGGACGGGTCATAAAGTATTTACTAGAGGAGGGTGGAGGATAAACGAAATTTCAAGTACATGTTTTCATACTCTCCCAAAAACTCATGCATGGACAAAATTTTCGTTACCCCCTTTCATGTAAGGTAAATTTTTCAAACCCCCCCTCCCTTTCTCCCATTACTTCTGTTTTAAAATTGTCTTGCGTTTAGTTCAGTTCGTCTTGGAAGCAATGAAGATCAGACAAAGGATATCAAACAACACTAAATTTAATCATTTTGCACAAACGTTTTCGCTTTATTGAAAGCTCCTCAGGTGCTGAATACTTTGTAAGAAATGACCACTATAATTTTGGTACCCCCTAGAGATTCTTGGGGTTTTTTCAGCTCTCCCCCCCCTAATATTCTCCACACCCCATAGTAAATACTTCATGACTGGTCCCTAAATCGACTTTCTAACGGTTTTTGTTAGAATTTTCAATGAACTATATGCATGGGTAAACTACAAAGTTTCAATGCTTGACGGTTGTATTTACAAAGATGGCGTTGAAATCGCGGTTTACAGTAAGCATGAACCTTTTTTCTAATTCCCTTGTTAGCTTTGACATGTAACGACAGCGTTAATCGTGTCGAAGAATGAAGGAAGTAAAATTGTTTCAAGTCAATTTCGGGTTTGTCAGTATCACTATACAGTGTGAACCAAAAGTCACCCTCACGAAAATACTGTCATAAAATTACTTTTGATAGAGATATGCCGTCGAAATTATAGATGCTACAAGAAATTAAAAATGTTGGCTGGGACCTCCATTACTCTCTGCGACTATTGCATATCTGTAAGGGTATGAGCTGTGTATGATATTGTGGGTTGTGTATGTATTGAGAGTTCTGTTGGTATTGACGGCTGTGTATGTTTACGGGCCGTGTATGATTGCGAGCTGTTAATCTATGAGGGCTGTGTATGTATAGTGGTCTCTGAATTGCGAGCTACGCATGTATTGAGTGTTCAGTATTGAGGCCACTGTATGTATTGAGCTCTGTATATAGTGCGAACTGTGCATGTATTGCGGACTGTGTATGTATTGGGGGCTGGGTAATTACTGCGAAATGTGTATGTATTGAGGTCTTTGTATGTATTGCGGTCTGTGTTTATTGCGGGCTATGTATGTATTGAGGGTTGTATATGTTTTGTGGGGTAAATGTGGTCACACATGATGCAGGCTTCTTCTAAAATACAGGGTATTGTATAGATTTTTCCTATACTTTGTGTCAGGTTGTCAGTGAGAGCGTCTTAATTATATACGCTAAAAATATGTGTAACCATGCATATAGTATGAATAAAATATATATCTATAGTGAAATACTGAATTTTCTTAGGCAAGTTCCTGGTAATAAATATTAAACATATATTATTAATATAACCACACCTGACTCATCTTCTACTGCAGCAACACATTCTAACAGCACCACGACAATAACTTGCGCCAATGCAATACCGTGCTAAAATGAAATTAAATTGCTCAAACCTTACAGTCAAAATACAAGAACCTTTCCAAGATTGAATCCTTTTAGAAAAGCGTTCATTTTTCCGCTGTGTGAAAATCAGGGCCGTAGCGAAGGAGAGTGGTATTGGGGACAATGGTTGCAAAATTCTGAATTTATAATAGTCAGAATCTTTCGCTGTCAGAATCATTCTAAACATTTAGTAAAAATACGTACGTATACGAACTTAATTTTCCGAACAAGAATTATAATATGCAGAAAAACTGCATTGACTTATTTATTTGAAACACCCTTTATATTGTAAAGCTATTATACTAGTTTACGTCGTTCCAAAGCATATGCAATATAAAATTGAAAATCATCAAAGAAGAAAATATTAATCCAACGCTGTCAATACTTACAAAAAGCAAAATGCTGAAATTCCCACTCTTATTCGTGTATATTACGACCCTTATAATATTCTGAATCATATATAATATTCTGAACCATATATGCAGGAAATAATATTATTTCCAGAACCCAATATTTCAAAATTTTCTTGCGCCTTGGGTACAATTTTCAGCCCAATATCCTGAATTCATTCAAGTTAGCTAGAGGTCTATGGCGTATTGTATTATTTTGAGGAGTTTTATATATATTCAATAGGATCCCGATTCGGAAATTTTTCATTTTTTATCTGCTTCCCGCCACTCCCAACCATGATGTGTTCGGTATGAACCTGATGAAAATTGTACTTGGATTACACTGTAAACCCCCTTTGTAGTCAGTTATATCAAGTGTTTATACCAATAGCAGAAGGTATTTTATTTGCATGTAACCTAGTGAACAAAAATAATAAAATCCTGTCGGAGAATGTGATTTTTGCTCTATAACATCATGAATAGCAGGAAAACTTTTGCAATTTTCGTTCTTAAAATCCTACGGTGCTGTAAAGATTGGATGTTAGAAGATAACCCCCCCCCAAATAGACATGAAAGGGTGCCGTGAGGCATGAGTCATTTATCATGTGAACAAAGAAGTCATGATTCACTTGGACAATGACCATGAGGCATAGTGAACAGGGATCATAGATCATGTGGGATGGAGATTTTTCATCAAGTGCATTGGGATCATTGAACATGTGTACAGTAAGATGCATTTAGAGTGTAAATGAGATCACTTACAAGTATTTAAATATGTTATAAAATTTAAACAATACAACAATTTTTTTACTTTTACACTGAATATTTTAATTCACAAATTTCTTCTGCTCGTTCACGGAGACCTACCAGCCAACAGGTATTTTATAATTTTAATATGGTATGATTTTTTTTTAAAAAACTTGACTATTCCTACATGGAGTATTTCATTTCACAAATACAAAAGATATAGTCTAAGAAATATTCTAAGCAATTTGCTAAAGTAGTTCCTTTCTGCCTAGAGTATACGGTCATCAATTGCAAGTATGGCATCGCGAATATTTGATCAAATTCTGTTTTGTCGGTTTGCTGTACTTTAGCACATCATATGCTTCGCCAACTGCTTGCCAAAGCTTAGTTTTATTTTCCTCTGCTTTGCCTCATATACCCAGATCCACCAACCAAGCTAAGAATTTACATTTCTTAAGCACCAATTTACTGATGCTAAAATGACTCATTCATTTAAACAAATGTAGGGTGCTGATTTAACAACAGTGAAAACTTTAGCCAGAGATGAGATTATGGCTAACCTTATAATAAAGTTCATACGAAAGAAATTAAAATTGAAAAAATCAGCAGAAGGAACCCAGAATAAAACGCGAAAACAATTATCGAAGGCCTAATTCACGCGTACGGGCGCCTGTTCATGCACGTGGTCCTCCCGCGCGTGGCCGCGCCCGCTCGCGCGCCGCGTGTGACCACACCAATAAAAACAAAAATATGAAAATTTTACAAATCTAATCAATCTCATTCGGCCGTACGCCGTACGGTATGCCGTGGATTCAAACATCGATTTCCGATACGAAAATAACGTTTGTTGCAATCGCTTACTGTCCCTTTATAAAGGTACGATAACAAGAGTCGATAAAAACCTTTATTATTGCGACATTTGAAAGAAACATTTCGAATGCAGTACGAATAGCAATAGTCCCTTATAGATCGAAACCTCGAGATGTTTTCTTGTCTATTTTAGGCAGTCGAAGAACTCATTGTGCCGTTGTTCAGTAATTTTCAGCATTCTTATATATATACTTTATTAGTCTTTAAGCTAATCTTCTGAAGAGAAATATGTTTCAATCTATTTTTCCTATTAAAATGGTAAAAGTAAGGTTTGGATTGGAACGAAAACTTTGCGAAATTAAGTGCACGCGATGACGCGAATAAATTTAATAGACAAACAATGTGGGCTTCGTTCGAACAAATGAACGGCCATTATATCTTGAAACTTACCATTTTACTCTTAGCATTCATCTCTTTTCTGAAAAAATCAGCTGTTTAGTTACACCAGCAACCTCGCTGTAGAATAATCAGCACTATAAGTCAGTAATTTACTGCAGTAAACTTCTATACGTCGGCTGTAAATTATGGTCGCCTTGGGCATTGCCACAAATGAGGGACTGCAGGGACATGCGCCTGCCTTGTACAGCGGATATCTGCATGAAAATTGGGAACCGCGCGCGTTTATCCAGCGGCCTTCCGTGTGGTAATAGAAACTAATAAGGTTGTAAGGCTTAGGCTTGTAAGGCTTGTAGGCTTGTTCTTGTAGGGCACTAAGGCTTCTAGTCTTTGCGCGAGACTTTCAAATTACTTTGAACCTTTCGCACTTGAATTTCATTCCCGTTAAAGGGGGTTTTTTACTTCAAAAGTGGGACAAATGCTTTTAAATTTTGGATAGCTATATGGCTGCTATTGTACTATCAATTATTTATCGATGCTGTGAAAAAATACAGCTGGGGATCAAGAAGTGGCATTTTATATCGTGTAGAAAGACGACGATTGATGAAATGTCAAGGGACACAAAAATGAAAAAATATTACATGGCACTACTTCAAAACCCATCGAAACTTGGTTGAATAATTCTTTAGTCCATTAGAATCGTGCTAAAGTACAGTATTTGGATGGTGCTTGCGACGAACGGTGAAAAACGGCGATCAAATTTGCGAAATATGCTGAAGCCTGAAATCGTGTTCTGGCGGGGCGGGTAAGTGAAATGAAATATGTCGTATCGCAACAAAACATTGTTATTTCGTAGGAAATTTATAATAAATATATTAAAATAAGCATGTTTTTTCATCATATGGCAAAAATTTTTAGAAAATAGGGAAAACAAGACGCCTGTTCTGGCTGTTCAGGCTGTTCTGGCGTTAACTCCGGCGTGGCGCGCACGTGCCAGTCTTCAATATAAAGCTTCTAAACATAAACAATTCTTTGTTTGCAATCACGTGATCTACGGAAATTTGATTTTCATCTGACGGGCAAGTTTAACAAATATGGCGGCTGTTGTGTGCTTTGGGAGATATTTTAAAATCCAAAATGCCGGATTGCTGTTCGGTTTATCTATGTACCAACCGCTCGAACAAGAACAGGGATAAACGCTTCTTCAGAATACCTAAAGAAATCTCGCACAGAGGAGACAAAACAAGAGATATTTCAAAAAGACGTCGAGCTAAATGGCTTGCCAACCTGTCGTTGGTGACGAAAGGAGTTGAGTCTCGACATGCTCGTGTATGCAGCGACCATTTTGTTAAAGGTATTATAGCCCATAAATCTAGTTCATCAGTTGTTATATTTACTAGTGTAATTGCTTGTACACAACTCTTCTCATCTGATGTTTAATGAAGGTATATTAAAATACTTATATATAGTTACTGTATTATGTGTACTTGTCATTGGAAATCCTACTCCCCCTACCCTGGAGAAATGTAGAGAATTAGCCTTTTTGTAAGTTTTCCAATGACAAGTGCATTCTAAAAGCTACAAAAGCACTCCTTTCCAGGTTATCCAAGTGAACTATTTGATGAAGAAGATATTGATTGGGCACCAACAATTAACCTTGGGCATCAAAAAGTGAAACCGACTTCAGAATGTGCTTTGAAAAGGCGGAAAAGAGCAGTTGAACGAGAAGAGAAGCGACAACAAAATCAGGCAGCCCTTGCTCTCCTGTCTCTCCAGAATCCTCCACTTCCAAAGGATGTTAATGACTTATCAAGTATGGGTACATACTGTTAATGCAAATGACATTAATATTTTTACATTATGATTTTGTTAATTTTCTACGAGTATCTAATTTATATCATAATGTATACTTGAACAGATAAATCATTGGAAAATGTCACAGATCGTGATGGCCCAACTGTTGTACGCACGAAAGAATGCCAAACATATGTTACTGCTGAGTCGTTGGAAGAAAGAGATAAAGAATTGGCTGAGAAAAAGCTTGAGCTACTTGACTTACAGGCTAAGGTCTCACTTACTGGACTTTCGAAGGAGGAATTTGCAAAGAGTGAAGCAAAGACCAGATTTTATACAGGTCTACCTAACTTTTTGGTACTGTTACAGGTGTTTAACCTTTGTGAAGCTTGGATATCTCACACTGACAGGTCAGCACTAACTAAATTTGAACAACTTATCTTGACTCTTATGAGACTAAAACTTAATCTTTCACTCCAAGACTTGGCATACAGATTTGGAATATCCACTGCGACAGCATCTAGAGTTTTCAAGAAATTGATATCTATTTTGCACTTGAGACTTCAGTTTCTGATTGAATGGCCTGAGAGAGAAATACTTAGGGCTACAATGCCCATGGATTTCAGAAACACTTTTGGAAACCAAATAGCTGTAATAATAGATTGCTTCGAAGTATTTGTAGAGAGACCATCTAACTTATTAGCCCGTGCTCAAAGTTGGTCAAACTATAAGCACCACAATACTGTCAAATTTCTTATCGGTATTGCACCTCAAGGATATATTACCTTCATATCAGATGCTTGGGGAGGAAGAGTTAGTGACAAACATCTAACAGAGAAAAGCAAAATTCTTCAAAATCTTCTCCCAGGTGATGTTGTACTAGCAGATCGTGGATTCAACATTGAAGAGAATGTTGGGCTCTACTGTGCCTCTCTTAAAATACCAGCCTTCACAAAAGGAAAGTCACAACTAACACCTTTTGAAGTGGAAGAAACCCGAAAGATAGCTCATGTCCGCATACATGTGGAAAGAGTTATTGGGTTAGTAAGGCGCAAGTTTCAAGTCCTTCAAAGTAGAGCAATGCCCACCGAATTTTTGCACACACAGCCTGGAGAACAACATTCATTGATTGACAAGATTGGAGTTGTATGTTGTGCTCTGACAAACCTATGTCAATCTGTGGTTCCATTGGAGTAAGAATTATTAATGAAAATCTACCTTATGTAAATAATTATATTAAAAATATTTAGCAGTGTTGATATAACTTAAATATTCAAGAGTTATACTGTAAGTTAAATTTAATTATTTAAGAATATTAAACATACATTTGTATTTATAAATTTGTGTACAAAATGATTACAAATCTTAAGTTATTGTGATATTTACTCCTCAGAATTTTTTAGCTCAAGGGCAGAAAATGGTTTAGAGAAAAATCTCCCTAATACTTCTGGCAGGATACACTTTCTAAAGAACAACTCTGCCTTAGGTACAACACTATCCCAAAATACAATATCTGGTAGGACTCGTTCTATGTAAATGTCATTCTCATTCCATACTATAAAATCACAATAATCAATTTCCATAATGTGAATTTGTGCTTGAATTTGAAAGTAATAGGCATGGTTCTTGTCCAGCTGTATACCAGTTTCACTTTTGACCAGACAGAATCCCTTGTCACCTGCACAATCTACCAGGTTTTCCTTCTCCTTCTTGCAAAATGGACACTATACAGTGAGTGAAAAGATTGGAGTGATTTACATTAGAGAGGGTGACCTTACAATGTATTCAACCATCCCTAATGTATATAAGCTTTTAAAAGAATGAGTTGTATACCTTTATTTCACATGCTCCAATACCACAACAATCACACATTGACCACCCCATCTGGTGTTGCACCCATAAATGACCATTTAAGGTTCACTCTTAACCCACTTTCACATACTGAAAATGTTTCATGTTGTTGGCACATGACACTTTCATACTTTTTCCTTGCAATACCCTCATGATTGCAACCATATCTAAAGGAATAAAATGCAAAATTATCAAAATATAAAATCAATACATTACAATAAAAAATTCTTGTTCTGCAAATAGTTATACCTGGTAGCTTCACTTGAAAACCTATATGCTTCTGGATAGCATATAGACTTAATCAACGACTTTGATGGTTTTTCTGGATTTGTTCGGACAACAGATTTAAGTCTTGATGCTGTGATTCGACCAGCTCTATGTGTAAACCATAGTTTTGAGTTGCTTTGCCTCCTGGTTTCTGCTTCTAAGACAGCTACTTGTTTTGCTGTTATTTTTAATGTTAGCTTCTGGCATTCATTCATTAATTGGTTGTGGTCAAGTTTTAATGATTCTTCTGATCCATAGCTCATAATAGGCTTTGGTAATACCTCAGTGGCTGACATAGGTATAAATGAGGAATAATAGAGTCGTTTTGACATTAAACAGGCACTTTTGGGAAAGTTCTTATTCAGGGTTTTAAAGAACTCATGGTATTCCATTGATCCATGTGCAACTGTGGGGCATGGTGGCTTTGGTTGTTGTATTGTAGGGGATGACTTTCCACACATAGCATTATCCATCTTTTGTTTTTTTGCCTTTGCTGAGGATAGGTCCATTGTTTTGACTGATGCAGGTTCGATCTGCAGAAAAACATACAATACAGCTTAGTACTATTCATGTGCACTGCATATATAATGGCAATTTGTTATTTAATCTACATGCACTTCTCTAACACTATAATAATAATATTGCTGTTATGAAGCAAACCTTTTTCATAGGTGCTGGCATCAACCACTTGCTTTTTTCCATCGTACAGGTAATAGTTTCACGTGTCCGCACTGCTGTTTCAATGAAATATAGCACTGCTCCTACATGAGAGCAAGACTCTGCCAATCTATATATGAAACAAATGTTTTAACCTTGTGTTTAATAATACACTACTGATACTTCAAACTCACTAATTTGCAAACGAAATTTATAGATTTTACAAACCCTGCCATGCAATTGCAATGTCCTGTCAGTACTTCACCATCTTCCTTCATTATCACCCAAGTCTTTAACGGTGTTTCTGTAGATCTCTGGGAGTGATTAACCTGTTCAAAACAAAAAAAAATTTGAGCAAATGAACCAAATTATACAATATAAATTAAATTCCTTAATACTTAAAACTGTACGGTACCCTTGCCATTATTAGTTGGTTCCCATTCTTTAATTTCTTTATACCAGTGCCGTGTACCCATCCACATACAAAAAAGTTGTACGCCTCAAGACTCTTGAAAGCCTTCATCTGCTGTTTTGAGTAAAAGGACGTTTGGATAACGAGATAATTCGAGATATCTGGAAATTCCAGATTCGGTAGGTCCTTGAAGTCTGTCGAAAAACTGTTTTTATTCATAGCATAGGGATCTATA